AGTCTTGTAGGACACTCTTGTGGGACACTCTTGTGGGACACTCTTGTACGACACTCTTGTGGGATACTCCTGTAGGACACTCTTAAGGGACACTCTTGTGAGACACTCTAGTGGGACACTGTTGCGGGACACTCTTCCAGCTCCCCAGATACTCCGCGTACTAAAGTTGTACTACAAGGTCGCCAGTTCTCAGCTTCCAGCTCCACAGAGACTCCACTCTCGCCTGCATTTCGCGCGCTCGACACGCACGATCTCCGCAGAGCGTTGCGCGGGCACCGGGCAAATCGCACTCTCGCCTGCATTTCGCGCCCTCGACACGCACGATCTCCGCAAAGGTTGCGCGGGCACCGGACAAATCTCGACACGCATGATCTCCGCAGAGGGTTGCGCGCGCATGGGACAAATCGCACTCTCGCCTGCATTTCGCGCACTCGACACGCACGATCTCCGCAGAGGGTTGCGCGCGCATGGCTGGGACAAATCGCACTCTCGCCTGCGTTTCGCACACTTGACACGCGCGATCTCCGCAGAGGGTTGCGCGTCAAGTCTCCAAAACGAGCGTTTCGTACGAGACTTCCTCAAAAACTCACACGTCAAAGTCTGCCAAACGAGCGTTTCGTACGAGACTTCCTCCAAAAGTCAAGCGGAAACACCCATCGGAGCACACACATCACGCAGCCCTGCCAACGCCACGCAGCCATTAACAAATGGATGTCCGCCTTTGACAATGCCATTCAGGCATCCGCTCAAGACATTGTCCGCATTCTGCAAACTACCAAGCGCGCCCAGGACCAACTGCGGGAAGCTGCCACACGGTAAGGCCTCCCTCTCGCCAAACTCAACAAAGCACCTCTTAAAGCCCTCCAAAACCTGGTTAGCATTGGAGCAGCACTCACCTGCTGACTCAGCCTTCAAGCACAAACCGCTCCACACGTGTCTACTCTCATCGACAAAGCGACATACATTGAGCGAGCCGACGCAATTTTCGCCACTGGCCTTTTGCATCTCACTCTGCTTTTTGCCTATCCATCCAACACCCACCGTTCCCAACAATGGCGAAAGCGCTTTCGCCACCTCAACATGCTGCCACACACTTACCATTACCACCACTTCCTCGCCCCCAACTCAATCTACATCAAGCTCCAACTCAACCTTCACCTCACCCAAAGCTCCTGCCACCAACACGGACACGTCTACATCGGACCCACCGCCATCGGTACCCCACGTCGCGAACAAACCGCCGAGCCAAGCTCAAGCAACTCCAGAACAACATCCCCATCTCAGCAGAACTCTCCCTTCGCTACTGGCACACCCATGACACCATCGAGCAATTCACTACCATTCAGCTTTCCTCTCACAACACCTACGATCAAGCATCAAGCTCAATGCCCAAGGTTGGCAATTCACCAAGCACCACACCCATTTCCATCCCAGATTTGCCAACCATCGCCCACTCTTTCAACGCCTCCGCCGCAGACAGAACACTTTGCGGGAACCACACCTTTTCACATCCACCAAACATCACGCCCTCACCTTACTTCGCAACCCTACCAAACACACCAAAGACTCCTTCGAAGCAGCCAAGGAACTCCGGAGGGGCCGCCACACCGACCTCGAACTCTACGCCATCTGCCGAATGGCTTCCAATCTCGAGGAACCAGGGCGCACAAAAGCGCTTCAAATCATCCATAAAGCCATGCTTTATCGCAACCTCACACCACCCAGAGCAAGCGTTCCACTCACCATTCCGTTCCTGGCTCACGACAATTTCAACTACAACACCTCACCCACGCCATCCCCCTCCACTTTCCCACCTGCCGCCTGCGCGAAGCCGCACACAACACACTACGCCGCCAACTCCACAATCACCGCCAATGGGAAGAAGCACTTCCAATGCCAGCTGACCACACCGCCCTTCCATGTGCCTGCGCACATTTGAAATCCGTGCTGGTCGACCCCAATCACCCCACCACAGATGGCCACTATATTCTCACACACTCCGACCTCCTACTATCAGAGCACCTCCGCATTTTCCTTGACGCCTACATGAACAGTAGTTTCTTCCCCACCGAGAAACGATACTATGACACGTTCCGGAACGCCTTCCGGAAATGGCTCCGGACACACGGTTTCCCCCCATCCTTGATCCAGCATTCAGAAGCATACCTCAATCAACAATGGAAACAACACCTCCAACAACTTCATCAGCAACCCAGATTTACAGCACGACTCCTTCGCCAGCTCCAGGAATACTTGGGTGACCATGTGGTCCTGCACCACGCAGATCATGAACTCCAACTGCTTCGAGTTTTCTGTCCCCGGCAATATTTCCTTGGCGCCCTGACCACCTGGCGATCGCCAGCACTCTTCAAGCCCATGCCCCACCTCACCACAGACAACATCAGCGAACATCTCCAAGCCACAGTTCCCACCATCCTACGCACACGCTACAAATGGGGTTTTCGCAAAGCCTTCACTATTCTGTCACCGGCCCTCTGCAACGTAGCCATCACTCTCATTGAACACGCCTGGCACCAGCTCCACAACAACCTTCTCAATCACACCAACCTCCACTTCAACTACTACCGTTATGTTGACAACCGCTTCATCACCCACAACGAGCATTTCCTAACACACCCAGCCATCCAAACCCTCATCCATCAAGATTTCTTCGGCGACCCCATTGAACTTGAAACGGTGGAAGGCTTTCACCTCCTTGGTTTCAACATCGGCCTCCCCACTTGCACAATTTCCTACATCCAGCCCTCCCAGTCATGGCAGCCAACGAGTGGCCCTCTCAGGCCTTGCATCCCGCATATACACACCATCTACAAATACACCTACCAGGCTGCCACGGCTGACGCCGCAGCTCAACACCTTATTGTCCTCTGCATCGCCAAAGGGCACCCTGCAGCGGAGTGCAGACTCTTTTTGGAGCACAAAAAGGGCGATCCAGCGCCGATGATCGGCACACTGTGTGTGCCACACTCCGTTTCTAGGAGTTCGTTTGTTTCTTCAGACAAGATCTGCAGGGGGCCACCTGGAGCAGAGATAGGGCAGGTGCCAACGAAGACACCTATCTCTTGCTCGTGATATCGACGGGAGACGTTCTGTCGACGTACCTGCTGAAGCAACTTTTGTACACGCTGTGACTCCATTTCTTTCCTTTTTTGCTTCCATGGTGGTTTACCATGATACTCCGCACAAACCCACTTTGCAGCCGCGTTTGCAAAGTGCCGCTTGTCCAGATCGTTTGATTGCACTTGCAAACAGTGTTGAAACATTCACCTCCGCGGACTCGACCACCTTTCCGTTCCATCACTCCTTCCTGCGTGGACTATGACATTGGATGAACCTGTATCTAAGTGATTTTTGTGTGGTGCCCACGACGCCCCCAAATCAGCGAGCACAGTGTGAGGTGAGGTGCATACTCAACCACATCAAATCAGTCAGAACTTGCAACCACTTCAAATTAAAGTCTGCTGCCAACAAATTGTTATTTCTGCAAAATTCTACTGGGGGAGAAGGAGAGCAAAATCCGCCTTGTCGGGACGCGAACCTTGTAGCAAGTCGTTGTACACAATCCGTGCTCGTGCACGGCCCAGTCTAAGCCGCGCCCTTTCTTCTACAATGGCTTTTGCTGAAATAGTGCCACTCTCCCACTTCTCTATTGCCTTGGAACTCAACGCCGCCAAATCAAAGAGTGAGAAGGCTTTCACATTCTTTGGCTGAAAAAAACCTAGCCGCCTTCCCCAAAGTGGCTTCCACCTCTTCAAAGATGTCAGCAGCACCTGGCTCATTCGGAGTGGTGGCCAGTTTGGCAAAGGCTCCTGCTATTTCGTAGAGCTCATCCTTGGTGGCCTCATTTCTCTAGACAGGAGTTGTTGAAACACTTGGAACCTTGGGACGGGTGAACGGGAAAATGAACGGCAGGCGTGGGTGGGGCTGTAAACTTTGCCCTGCAAATGCTTATATAAAACATGTCGTTTTTATATACCGTTATGCATGCCATAGTCTCAAACACACAGTAAAAAGTGCTCTGCATCACTTGCGTTCTCAATGCGCTGCTTCAAGCAGCGCAGTTGCGGATTACAAGGGCAAGAATGCTTATGCCTGTGCACGTGCAAGCGATCCACTGCGTAGTACTTTATGGTGGCACACGGTCATATGGACAAGACAAGAAGAAACTGGAAAAGGAGGCTCCCGGCTTAACGTCCCATCGGCGACCCGGACATTAAATAAAGTGTGCCTTCCAGAAGAACGCTGGTTGTGAGCCTAGTGGCTTTGCACCTCACCTTGCGCGAGACCCTGACACTATCTCTCTGACTCTAGCTTCCCCTCGCGGAATTTCGACCCCAGGGTACATACCCAGGGTTTGCAGTCTACAACGGGAAGAAACTATATAAAGAGGTAGACATCATGGTCTCATACAAGGGACGGTGCGCAGCCACTAGATCTGCAACCAGTGTTCTCTTCTGGAAGACGCACTCTATTGAAGGAGGACTATTTCTTTAGGCGTACTTTGCATAGATTAACTTCAAAGCATTTCTTGGTACAGACCCCAAACCTGGACTAGAGCTCTCCACGGAGTGCAGGTCTGTGCGTGCCGAGCCTGACCAAAAAATTGAAACAAAAAACAACAAGTAGTTTCTAGTAGTCTTGTGCCTGTGTTGGGAGTGGGCATCAAAGAGTCTGAGGAAACCAAAATTTGAAAATATATTCCAGAGTAGGGGGGCGACAGAGAGTCTCAGAATATATACAGTACATATATTGTATGTTTGTATGTTGTTTTTTTGGAATTAACATATGTTATGTAATTAAGTTACGATGTTCTATGCATACTACAAGTTCCAAGAAAAATTACAGCCCTAGGAGCGCCCCTTCCAAAGCCTTTCTGGAACAAATCAACCAAACACATGGCAAGTACAAATCTGCAACAGGCTGGATAGTGTCGTGTCTTCCGTACATGGCCCAAAAGTAATTCTCTGCTTGCTGACGCTACTGGTCGGGATTCAGCCAGTGTCGGTGAGGGAAGGCAGGCCAGCGCAAGCCACACCCGGCGTGGGATAAGTAGGGCCTGTGAGGATGGCTGGCTCAAAAAGCACGCATTGTCAGGAACCACATCTTTCCAGCCTGCCGAATGTCCGAAAGAAACGTAGCGCCCGGCAAAGAGGATGTTAGCACAAGAAGCACTAGCAATCCGAGTCGTTGAGAACCGCGCGTTCCCATTGCCAACCCAGCACATACAAGAGTAAAAGCAAGGATGATGAACTCAATTCCGACAAAGACTGAAGATCTTTGATGAACCCCAAGAAGCTATGCAAATCTGTGAAGCGTTTGGCACACCGCACCAGAAATCAAAGCGAGCCCTTGGATATCCATACCAACAAAGTGCCAACAATAGTGTGCAAGTGATTTGTTTGGATGTTCTTCACTAGGACAGCTAGGCAGAGCCAAAGGCTTCAGGCAAAGTGGTGCACACGTTCTGGCCTGCTCAGCCGCACGGCGCTGGGACTGAAAGTGACTTCTTAAGGCCGGTGCAAGTTCTGCAGCCTGACCGGAGGCAACAGCTGGACATCACGGCAAGTGCCTGGCAGATTGGCAAAGAACCAAGCGAGGGAGCCAAGCATAGAAAGCCACAAAATGATCAAACTCCAAATGCAACAAAGCAAGGCCTGCCACAATCCTTTCTCAAAAGAGGTCGCTGGCACAGCTGGTGCCTGCTGTGAACACTGCGTTGCAAATGGCTCTGGAACATTAAGACAGAAAGGATCAGAAAGAATCCTTTGAAAAAAGAACAATGTGTTTTTGTTTGGCAGTCCCGGCTCTATAGTGGTCGGTAGGCATCGACTTGAACGCATCTTTTGCTCGCTTGAGCATCCGCTCATGCCGCAGCCAGGCACGCAGTTGGCCTTTGCTTTCTTGCTGGAGATTCTGCCTAAGATATGCTCTAAGCAGGCAAGTTTTTGCTGAAGCTGTCAAGGCTAGCGCCTCGTCGCTCTGACGCTCAAACGCCGACAGTGCCGAGCATGCTGCCAGCACATCTCGTCCAAGCCACCCATCTTTGCTCTCTCTGAGCTTGCGGCTCCGAACACGGGCACCACAGGATGAACCAAACAGAAGGGTGTCCACTTGCCGCTTCCACTTCCGCAGCACCTGCATAGCCAGAGCATGATCCTTTACAAACTGTGGATCAAATTCTTCGACGGCTTGTTGTCCGTTTGGTGGCCGCCAAATCCCAACAAAATATGGTTCTTCTGCAACTTTTCGCAACACCCTGCAACTGTCACATGCAAAGGCTAGAATGCGCGAGTCCAGATCCGAACCCAAAAGATCGGAGCGGGACGGAGTTGTTGAATCCAAATGTCGAGACGAAGGCGCTGCAAGGCCGGCATTTAGCACCGGCATTTGCACCAAAAGAGTCAGAGACAAAGCCACTCCTGTTTGACCCTCCAACGGTCTGCGATGTGATCCGTAAAGCCATGCAACCTCTGCAAGCTCCTCAATCTGCCACACACTTCGAATGTATCCAGAACGGGGAAGAAGGGGCTTCCAATCTCTGGCATAGCCAGGCAGTCTTGGTAGTGGGCGACCTAGGATCAATTCAGTCACCATGGGCGCCAACATTGCAAACACCTCTGAAGACCAAATGCCACAGTCTCCTGCAGCCCGCAAAACTGCCAAGGGCTGCTTTAGTTGCGGCGCTTGTGGATGTGGTCCATCCCTTGCTGCCACAGCAGCTGCTCTCAGGAAGCGTTCTAACGCTGTCTTGGTCTCTTGCCACTCTCGATGGTTTCCCTCTCCCTCCGCGTTTCTGCTCACGCTCTCTATGTCCTCGTCCTTGGTTCGCCGCGTCGTTCTAGTCTTCTTGCGCCATTTAGCCAGCGAAGCAGCTGCACCACACATGGCTCGCAAGGTTTTGGGCGGGGCGCCTGCTTCCTGCAGAGCACAAGCTGCAAGCTCCAACAGCCGTGCAACTGAGCCTTCGGAGCTTTCCATTGAAGTGCGTGCCACCACCTGCAAAGGCTGAATGGACTCGTCCGGTAGCGACCCAACCAAGGAGGCCATGCCCTGCAACAAGACTGCCACATCACTGGGAGTCAGCACAGTCGCAACCTTCCAACCTGATAAGGGTCCAGCCACTAAAGCTTCCAATGTTTCTGCTGCTTCCAGGCAATCCGCCAAGCCAACCTTCTGAAGTGAGGCCAAGCTCTTCACAACCGAGCATGCATCACTTGGCGTTATTCTTGTACGGCTGAGCTGCCAGAGTAGTGCTGCAATAAAAGCCTGTGCTCTACTGCGGCTTCGATGCTTGCGTGGTCGGTTCCCTTCAGTCAAACGAAGATCTTGGCCAATACTCGCTCCAGCACCATCAGCCGCAGCGTAGCGCAAAGCCAGGACTAGCTGCCTCCCTCCCAAGCGGGACAAACTCCTCTCATAGTTCACCGGCAACATATGCCACAGCACAGGGACGGGTGGAGATGTGAGATACATCGGAGGGGATGTCGGTGTCACTTGCAAATTAGCCAATGTCAGGTCTTGCTGCGACTCGACATCAGGTGGGGCTTCAACCAGCTCCAAATCGCTGTCACTAGTCAAGCATGTAGTGATTGCGTCGGATTTTGAAGCTACTTCTGGCAAGCACTCCACTACCCAAAGAGGTGCTCGGTCTTGAAACTTCAAGAGCCTTTCTTCATCCTCATAGGACAGCAACGAGCTCTTCAAGCTTTCAGCTGCTCTTTCCCACACATGCAAGTGCTCATGATGCACCATTCCATGTTCGGCATAGTATTCCATCCACGGAATGACGATGCCTGGCGGAGCCTCGGCCAGAACAGGTGGCAAACTTCGCGTGAGCTTTTTGTGCAAGCGACCTGCCCAGCAGCCTTGCGCCCGCGGCTTGGAAATTGACAGTTGTAGCTGCAGGGTCCGGCAGCAATTCCTTCAACACGGGGAAGCTGAATGCAAAACGGGGTGAATGAAAACAACAAATTACAAAAAGCATGTAATTAACATACCATATCTAGCATAATGAAGCACATCTTGCCAAAAAAGAATGCATGTCAATTCCAAAGATCAGCAGGGGAAGCAGGTCTGCATGATCAGCTTGCGAGGCCTGTCTGGCCAAACCACGAACCAGCTTCCCCAGCGCAGAAACTTTTTTAAGGAGTCCCAAACGCTGAAGCTCTGGAAGTGCAAATGCTAAAGTTCGCAAGGGAAAATGTGCTCTCTCTGCTGCATTCACCAAAATACGTCGTGAAATTGATGACCAAAAATGAGCCGATGCCGTCTCGCTCAAACTGTGGATCTGCGCATGCAAGGCCGGCAGAGAAGGCCCCAATTGGCGGAGAGGCAACTTTCGCAAACGTCGACACAGCACCTGCAAATCAGCAGCTTTGACTGTAGTTTTGACGTTTAATGAAGCCGGGGCCGCGAGGGCCGCGAGGGCATCTCCAGAAAACGGAATGCCACCAGGCTTGGCGCCTCCCTGCTTTGTCGCGTTTGGGCTGTCTATGTTCCAGCGTTGTGTCCGGTGCGTCCGGTGCGTCATTACGTCTTCAACATGGGCTGATTGTGCGAGTATTGCTGTGTTCCGCGCTCGCCGCCGGGCCCAGCGAAGACTGACAGCCATGACTTCAGTGAATCCAACGCTCTTTGGTTCGCATGTCTACAGGAAGTGAGACAGACTTCAAAAAATAATTCTCGTGATGCGGATATGCCATTGTTGCAATCGTGAATAGGCTTCGCAATCGCTGTTGCTGTCGAGTGGTCATCATGATTTTGAAAAATCCAGAAGCAACTTAAACAGTCTAGCAGAAAATGTTTGATAGTCGTTGACAATGATAAGTCTGTCTTGCCTTCTTGAACTCAGGGGAAAGTAGGGGCCGTCGCTGCCTATTACCTAAAGCAGAACTAGCTGCAGCTCGCCATCCGACTCCATCCTGCTGCAGCCATTAGTTGCACGCTGGCGCACGCCTGTGCTGGCAGCCAACACCTGTACAAGAAGTGGCAATGGCAACCAACACCAAATGCAAAAGTAATGTGGACCCAGACGCCAAAATAGTCTATTTTTTCCTCTCTGCCTTACCAAGTTTACAGACTCATGTGCCCCAAGATGCGAAGTCTTTTCCACATGCATGCTCATGTTCATGTCTCTGCGGAAGTGCGGTGCCGTTCTCGCAAGCACTTGTGTAGGGCTCATTCCTTGTAGACAAACCTCAGGGCGTGCCACTGCACACACTTGCCTACTGGCCCTGATGCATTCAGAAAATCGAAACTGAAACTGCTATTATTAAGAGCCGGGTGTTAGACGAAGTATGCCTTGCATTATCCCACTCCACCGGCGGTTTGTCCCCGCTGCCTGGGACTCAGGGGTGCGTCCATGAACTCTCCGAAGGTCAGTAATGAGTCACTTATATATATATATTTTTTTTGTAAATTACAAAAAGCTCTCTCTCTCTCTCTCTCGCCGTTTAAGATGTGCAGCTCACTGGGACATCACATGTTCATGTTCCCTCTCGAAGACTCTTGTCAGCATGGCCTCCGTACTCTTGGATGAACTCTTCTAGCGTGTAGGCCTGCTACACTGGGCAGTGCGGACTGAAATTCATGACTGCATACACACCCCAAGTGAACCTTGCTGACTCTAGCCTCTGGCCGTGTTCACGACAAACAATTCCCACTCATATCGAATCACACTCTAGTGACGAGAAGGCTCCATTTCCAAGCACATCACAAAGGATGTCCGACCTGCCCGTCAGCTGGGTCAATTCTTCGCTCTACACCCTTCGCAAGGATTCGGGCCTCAAAACAGCAACTTCGCAAAGATTTGCACCCTCAAGTTGCAAGTTGCACAACTACCAACTGCCCAAATTATGTTGGGAACATATTTTACCTTGTGCCTCTGGTTGACCTGGATACATCTGGATACCATATGTTTGGGACTATCTTCGGCGTTTTGGCTCCACTAACAGCAGAACGTCGCAGCGAAACGGCTGAAAGCAAGTACGGAACGATCCCCATGGACCACGACAGCTGCACAAAACACATTGTGCCAGCATAGACCCTAATCACTTTCAGCTTTTCAGTTTGCCGTATATTGGGGTTTCTGTGAGGAAGAAAACCCAGCCCTGCGTCCAGGCTTCGCGCTTTTGCGCATGTGACCCGGGAATTAGGAACTAGTGACTAGTGCTTTCAAACAATGCCATTCCCAAACAGCTGGAAGCTATAGGAACAAATTACAGCTGTTACCACCAACATTGGAACTAAGGGAGTTGACGCCAAAGAACTCTAATGCTGAAACTGTTTGGTGTCTACGCTGGCATAATTTTTGCGTCAACTCCTTGAATTTCAATGTTGGTGGTAACGTTGGTAATTAAGTTATATTCCTGTAGCTTCCAGATGTTGGGGAACCGCATGTAAGCAAAAAAGGATTGAAATCGATTGACACCAATTCCCGGACCACGCGCAAAACCATGGGGATGTATGTCATGAGAAAATCCGAGGGATCGAAACGCCTTGTCACTGTTGCATTCATAGATGCTGAGCATCCAGGGCGGCCAGAGGACAGCAGGACAAGAGGAGGAAAACACGAGGAAGACACCCGGACACAGGGTTTGGGGGGCACAGCCAGAGACTGTGGCCAGTGTCTTTTGTCTTAAGAAAGAACCCTAACCGCCTACAGCTGGAATTGACGGTGCTGCTGGCCTTCTTGATCTCAGTGTCGTCATCACTGAAGCCTTCGAGCTCTTCTTCTTCGCGTTTTCGAACTTCACCCTTTTTCTTCTTCTTGTCCTCATGTATAGCTGTGAGAGTCAGCATGAGGAAAAAAAATGCGAAAGTCAAGAGCGGAAATGCTGAGATGGTTCTTGAATGGCTTCCTCACTTTGCATCACTGGGTCACTGGATTGCCAGCTTTTTCCTGATTCAGTCAGCTCCATGCGCCTCTACGCCAGAACTTGCTGCCGGCGCATAGGCGCGAAGTAGAAAAAGTGAGAAGCCAATCGTTGGATGACTTCATCCAACTGAGTGCTGAGTTTGTGCAGTGCTTCTACGGGATTCTTGGGACAGTCTGCGTCTGGGCACTCTACACATACAAGCAGGAAAGGGCAATCGTCAAGCTCCACATGCTTCGCGTACGCGAAGCAATCAATACTATGAAATCCAGCTTGATGAGTAAAAGCAAATTCGCCTGCAGGCAAAGGAGGTACTTGCCCTGCATCTACACCCTCAAACAAACATGCTCCAGCTCCTCCACCCCAGAGATTTCCAGCTGTATCACAGAAAGCCTTCCAGTCCTTGGCTTGACTGGAGGGTACCAGGACCTCTCGCAAGTCACTGCCAAGCTGGATGTACCGTGAGACTGTGAGGTCTCTGAAGCCTGCACTTCGGAGTGCAATGGGGCAGCCTTCAACTGTGGGTGCTGCGATGACAAAAGGAGTCCTCAAACTGTCGAGCTCACTGATGTCCACGTGCTTCACGGGGTCTTTCACTTGAAACATGTCAAGAGAGCATGGCGAGTTTGTGTAGCACTCCTCCCAGCTCTCATCTTCTGACATTGACCAAAACGATTGCTGCAAATCGGCATCACCACCACTAGCCTTGTCTGTTTCCACAAATGACTGCCGTGTATCCATCGAGCCCAGTAAGGCGCCGAAGTGGAATGTTTCAACTCCACTTCCTTTGCCTTTTTGGCCATCCGAGCTGCTCTTTTTACTGGCCATAGTGGAAGCCGTGCTACGGCTCCACACTGAACTTGTATCCGCTTCCGTCTTTCTAGTAGATGTCGGTTTGATGCCCTTTGCCAGCTCATCTTTCCACATCTTCTCAGCCACTCCATGCAAATCATTAGAGTAGGGATCCAGTTTTTCAAACATGGCGGGTCCAACTTTGCTTGACCAATCTTCACACATTCTTTGATATGCAAGCTCTTCGCGGGCTGCGTGCAATAGCTCTGCAGCACAAATATTTTGGGAGATATCCCGCTGCATGCCCACGTGGTATGACCAGCCTAAAACTGGATGAGTCTTCTTCTGCCAGGACATTTCATAAACGACAGGCTCTCCATCTTTCAGGGTCACAAAGAGCGACAGGAAGGTACCACTTTCTTTCTCACGGGTCTTTATCATGGCCTCCTCTGATGATTTGGCCATCCGCTCCATGCATTCAAATGCCGTCTCCTCTGATAGCCCCGCAGCTGCTGCGAAAGCTTGAAGGGCAGGGAGCGACTGGCACAGGAGGTCGCTCAACCTTCTGCCTTTGGAGTTCTCGCCAAAAAGCTCCTCAAAGCCTGCGCTACTGTGCTGAATGATAGCACCACCTGCCCTGGCATCACAAATGATGTAGCTTAGCTCTGTCTTCCGAGTTGGCGTGCTGCAACGTCCTCTGTCTTGGACTGTCTTCTGTCCGAGGAGTCCTGCCCCCCCGGCCAACCGCAAGGCGCAGCATGCCAAGTGGCACTATATGACAAAAACCTATGGCCAAGTGCGCCCCAAGTCTGGGCGCCGGCGCACGGGCGGAGCTCTAATCTTCCAGTTCCTTTGGAACAGTTGCCTCAGAGCTTGCCAGGCATTGTCTATTGGGCCAAGGCTGGAGAACGCTACGATAAAAGTGAGTCGGAATCTTGCTTGCACAATTCTGTGCACGAAGTTCTCACAAAGTCATCAAATGTAAAGTAGAGGCTGATTGTGTGCTGGTCGGCTACGCTACATCTCTTGGTTTGCCTTTGGCTCAAACCAGTGTTATATAACTTCGTTTGCATAATCAAGCCTAAATTGCGATATCAATGTGCAAATTGCGTCCTTCATCTCCACTACAACTTCTGGAGGTGGTGGCAGTGGTGGAGCTGCATCCTCATCATCATCAGAATCTAAGACCTGAAGCGCGACACGTCTTCGAACTTCGAAGGTGAACCAAACAACCGACAAAGCTGAATCATAAAACAACCGACAAATCTAAATCATACCTCTGCACAACATCCTGTCTTGTCCTGGCTTGAAAAGGTTCAGAAAGCATCAAATTCATATGATACATATGTATTTTAAACTGGCTGCATTAGACTGAAGTCTTACACGCTGTCATGCTCCCAGACTTGATACACTGCTTTGGGTTTCGTCTGAGCTCACTACACTGATCGGGGCATACTTCCGAAACAGCTCAAAGTTGTCTGACTGCAGCCTTTGCATCCATACATTGCATGCGTGTGGAAAAGTCCAAATCCAGGTCTGCTTTTCAGGGCGAGGAGGTGATCATAATGAGAAGACCCGCATTTGCACCCAACATGCCAGAAATGTTGGTCAACTTAAACATAAGTCGTAAAACATACTGCTGCTGGCATGGCACCGTGGAATGTCTTCCAGGCCAAGGAACTGTTTCTGCTGCTTGGGACTGAAGAGATGGATGTGGCCACGGATAAGATTTAAGCAGTCCGTGGCAATGCTTCCCTGGACAAACTGCAAATCGAACGCATTAGGTTGCACTGGCAATATGAAGTGTTTCAATTGCACTATTCAAGCATGAACCCCTATCAAACTTTTCACAACTGATAGCCTGTCCACATTGGTGGTTTTCAAGGACTAGCTCGAGCAACCGCGGTTTCATTGCAGCAAGCACAAAGTGGCCTGTTGACCTTTT